ATGACAGATATATAACTCACATTTCTATGAGAATTTTGTCAGGTCGGCCCAAAAGTTACATGTTGCAGCTTTAATGTTTTAACTCTATCCAAAACCTTAACTTCAAAATGTGAGGTTTGAGGTGTGGAGTAGGGCTGTTGCGGTGACCATATTACCTCCACACCGGCGGTCACGAGTCATGAAGGCAGTCAAATTCCACGTGACCGTTTAGTCACGGTAATTAGGCTTCTCCAAGCTCTGATGCTGCTGATGGTCATTAGTAGCCAACCAAACGTGCTAACTGCCTGGTACTCAGCACTCTATTGTCCCTCTAATCACTCTGACATCAATGCAAATGTGATCGAAAATCTAATAAAAAATTAATGAGGGCCCATGAGCTCATGTTGCACAACATTTCTAAAGGCTATGCAATTGCGCGAGAAAACAGAGTGATGGCCTCTATTAAAAAGAGGAGGATCCCATCAGCTTTCTATTGGCTTACTATATTTAGTTCTCAACTTTTCTCATTTGAAGCACATTGCTTATATTTACAACAGGAGTATAGCCTACCTGGCTGGCATGAAAATGAACCACAGGAAAAGCATCCTCCATTCGCTATTTAAGTACATAGATGACATGTATTTTTTCCCCTGCCCCTGTTTCGAGACAGGTGCATGATAATGGTCCATTCTAAATCAAAACAAATTTCACACATATATTATTTAGTATATGTAAAGACAAGATTAAATCAAGAATAGTCTGATGGGTGACAATATTAGCCTATCACTTGTGAATGATATATTATCACTTGTGAATGATGCCCAGCGTAAGGCAAGAAACAATGTCTTTTTTGTGACGTTTTCAAATCATAGTTGCCTATATGTTTTCATAAGGTTTGTATCACAATTTAAGTGGCCAAATAACTTATTAAAATTAAGAACATTAATCCGCTTTACAAGGGGTTTTGATATGATGTTTTTATGGTATAATGATGTCATGTCATACTATCGTGGGGAACAGGTTACTAGATAAGTGGTTAGGAGACAGAAAGTCTAGATTCCATTATGTCAAAGGAGATTACTGATGTTTAGGATAGCATGAGTGATGTTTAGGATAGTGACTTGGGGTAAAGAGTGATGAACATCAAAGACAGGGAGTGCCCATGGAGACTTGCCAGATGTATGCCAGGAAGAGGGTAATAGAGGGTATATAAGGTAGAGTGTCTTCTTTGTTCAAGTTAGTTCATAACACCAAGGGGCAAAGCTCTGGTCATTGTTGTAACGAACCCGGTACCGATCATTAAACATTTGCATTAACTGTCTACAAAGTGTCTAAGTATATCCTTGCATCCTTGATTCTTTGACACCCGAGAAACTCATCATAACAGGTGTAGAGCCTAACTGGCATACATAAGCAGCGCATGAGTTTCAAGTTTGGGGAAGATAATTTTCACCATTAAAATTCACCTTTATAATAAAAGCATTACAAGCATAATCGCATTTGCGGTCACTTTTGATAATGGTGTTTTCCCGCTGATGGAACATTCGCGCTTATAGCCTACTGCCGTGTGCGCATCGCTGCGCTTATGATGTGAAGAAATATACATAGTTTATCACATTTTAAGCTAAACGTTCTCATCTGTTGCGTCAGCCTCATTGTGTAAAAACATTTTTTTGATGGTAGTGGTTGTATTAATTTGGAATCTATCGCATTCCACAATTGTACCATGCTATGTTTAGAATATGTATTTCTCGCACAGAATAGAATAGGTCAACATTTGTACTATGGGGGATAGTAGATTGATATAGGCTAGTGCTTTTGCTGTTCGTTAGGCTTACTCATCTTGTTGGCTGAAGAAAAGTAACTGTGGACAGTTCTTCCAATATCTTCAATATGCGAATTGGATAAGGACACATGTAGTTGCGTCCCCGATGTGTCGGTCTTCACTTGTAGCCTGTGAGAAAGACCTGATCACGTGATGGAGAGCCATGTGAGTGAGAGGTGCTTTGGAGCACGCAGCACTCAGCACTCAGGGAGAAGGAAACTGGACGCAAAAGGCATGGATTTTTGTAGGGTGCATTATGGCCACACAAAGGGGATGCCGGCAGGTAATTAGAGGCATTATCAAGTGCTTGTCAAATTGTGAATGAGAGACTGATGAAGTGTGTACAGCCGGCGCAAAAAAACAAAGCAGAGCTCATACCTTTCAAGCAACTTTTTTCAAATCATCATTAGAGTTGCATCATGCAGCCTTACAACGTATAAAAAATCTAAACATATAGCCCAACGTTTGTAGAACAACTAAAGTTACATTAATAACTCTAAATTAAGTATATAGGAGTACCTATTTCTTTGCTAACCGCTCAACACAGAATAGCCGCATGTGCGCACTCCCTCAAATCGTTTGGAGGAAATATCCTTTCAATTTTATTCAGCGTTGTTCAATTGTATTCTTCATACTATAAAACAATATACAATAATGCCACGGAATTCTAACCAAATCTTGTCTGCTAAATGAACTAGTGTAGCCCACAGCCATATGACATAGCCAGATCAGGACCTAACATAAGGACAACTCAGAGTATGCTATTCTGCTCTTCTGAAATAGACAACATTTTCTTCATATAATTTCTTTAGAACTGTCTAAAATAAATAATGGTTTTATTGTGAATGTGTAGGCTATATTACATGGATTTATTATACTTTTTTAAATGTAGATGTTCCAAAGGTCTGCGTCAATGGCTTGTAGCCAGGAGATTTGTGTTTATGTTAATTACCGGTCAATTACCGTGAGATCAACAGTTATTTGCTTGACAATCACTGGCTGAAGAAATTTCGTGACCGCCACAGCCCTAGTTTGGAGCAACGGGCAACGGAACTATGCTGAGCAAAAAGATGTACAGCTGCACCATCGAGAGCATCTTGACTGGCTGAATCACCGCTTGATATGACAAATGCACCACCCTCGACCGCAAAGCACTACAGAGGATGGTGCGGACAACCCAGTACATCACTTGAGCCGAGCTCCCTGCCATCCAGCATCTCTATATAAGGCAAACGAAAGACTGCTAAATAGTTAATTAACAGTAACCGAACTATCTGCACTGACCCTATCTTGCACTGACTCTAAGCACACAAGACTATATATACATACTATATACACACTCACACACATACCATACTGACCCACTTACACAAAACCCACACACATTCACATACACTACTGTACATACACACACACACTCACATAACACACACACGCATACCGACACAACACAAACACAGACACACACAAACACACATGCACGCACGCACACACACACACACACACACACACACACACACACACACACACACACACACACACACACACACACACACACACACACACACACACACACACTTACTCATCATATGCTGCTGCTACTCTTGTTCTTTATTTTAGTCTTATTATTATCTATCCTGATGCCTAGTCACTTTACCCTGCCTTCATGAAACTCATACCCCTCCCTGCACATTGATCTGGTGCTGGTACTCCCTGTATATATCTCAACATTGATCTGGTACTGGTACTCCCTGTATATAGCTCCACATTGATCTGGTACTGGTACACCCTGTATATAGCTCCACATTGATCTGGTACTGGTACTTCCTGTATATAGCTCCACATTGATCTGGTACTGGTACTTCCTGTATATAGCTCCACATTGATCTGGTACTGGTACTTCCTGTACATAGCTCCACATTGATCTGGTATTGGTACTTCCTGTATATAGCTCCACATTGATCTGGTACTGGTACTCCCTGTATATAGCTCCACATTGATCTGGTACTTCCTGTATATAGCTCCACATTGATCTGGTACTAGTACTCCCTGTATATAGCTCCACATTGATTTGGTACTGGTACTTCCTGTATATAGCTCCATTCTCTCTTGTCTTGTCTTACTATCTTTGTCTTTGCTATTATTTTTTAAATCTGCATCACTGGGCTCGTAAGCCAGCATTTCACGGTTAAGTCTGCACCCATTGTATTCGGCAGATGTGACAAATACAATTTGATTTGATTTACTTGATTTGAGCAGGAGGAGCAAACAAGGGTGTCAAAAACACTTCCAAATTTGACGTTTTGAGCAACTTCAAAATTTGAATTTGGTGAAATGTGGATAAACGTCTGAATCTGAAGTCAAATTGGTAAAACCGTGAGCTCTTTTTGCATTTTTCACACTCAACCACTTGATCATTCCTTCAATCCCGTACTGTATACAGCAACACTATTTCCATATTTTCCAACTCGCAGGGCAAGGCTTGTTCTCTTTCAAAAAAATCCTTGAGCATATGTTAATTCAATAATGTGTGTGAGAGGAATCCAGGAAATGAGAGAGAAAGAGAGAGAGAGAGAGAGAGAGAGAGAGAGAGAGAGAGAGAGAGAGAGAGAGAGAGAGAGAGAGAGAGACAGAGATGGAGACAGAGATAGAGACAGGGAGAGAGAACGAGAGAGCGAGAGAGAGAGAGAGAGAGAGAGAGAGAACGAGAGAGAGAAAGAGAGAGCGAGAGAGGCGTAAACAGCTCCTAACTGGCACTAGCTCAGCATTTAAGATAATGATGCTCTTTGAGAGGAGGAGAGGGGTGTAAATATGACTCTCCATCAGGGAGAGAGTTTTCATTTGAACAGTTTCTCTCTTTGCAGGCCTTTCATGGCCTCTCTCTGGTGCAACTTCCCACAGTGACATGCTAATGAAATGAGTGAAGGCATATGACCGATTAGCTCTTACAGCTTTCAGCACAGCAAATCTCAGCCAAGATAAGTGCCAAGCATTAAACAGTCAGCCTCTGATGCATTTTATGCACCTTCAGTGCATGTGGTCAAGCAAGTGTGTGTACTTGCATTTAGTTGTGCATTGTTCTCAGGCAAGGCGCACAATTGTGTTGGCAAGGATAGCTCTACAGGTGCGCATTGATATGACCACATCTACAAGTGTATGTGGTGTGTGTGTGTGGCATGCTCTATATGCTCTCACCGTCTGCCACCTCTAGCTGAGCCTTGGCCAGGATGCTGCCGGCCACAGTGAGGGCCTGGCAGGTGTAGTAGCCTGCATCAGAGCGCTGTACGGAGGAGATGGTCAGCTCTCCACTCACTGACACTGACACACGGCTGTCTCCCTGGGCTGGCTGGCTGGGGAACAGCAGATCCTGGCGAGATAACATAGATTCATTATGAAAAACAGCATGGTGTTTTGTCCTGTGCCCCATAGAAAACATGGCGAGATTCAATGTAGGCCTAAATGTTGTAGTTAATAGTATAAGTGAATAGTAAATCATAACTGTACTGTACTAAATGATTTATACATTCAGTTAGTTACATAAGAAATGTGAGGGAATGATAGAGAAAGTTAGAGTGACAGGAAATAAAGAGGGAGTGACAACCTTGGCAATACAATGTTATATAACAGTATAGTCCCATACACCATACATGTACAAGGCAAGAGCGGGCTGCATTAACTAAAAAGCACCAACAGGTCAAACCAATCATCTGAAACCTTGCTCTATTTTACACCATTTCCATTCTCAGTGTGTGTTCATTACTGAGTAGGCTGTTATGTCCTTAGTCCTCCTATTCACTCACTTATCCTAGAAATGTGTATGTAATTCAGTAGTAAGTGTGGGGGCCGAGGGGTCGGGGTCCTCTATCTACTCGGAGTGGTCAGTAATTTACACTGTGGGTGAGAGGCGGTCAGCCCTGCCAGTGATGATGCCCTGCACTATGGGTCTTGAAATTAAGTGAGTCCTCCCGGCCGCCCACACATAGCCTTGAAATCTCTATCTCTTTCGCTTCAATTAGATTTTTTCCCCATTCCGCTACCTGAGAGCAGTCAAACGGAGGGGAAGGGAAGGACATTAGCCTGATCCCTTTATGCTTAACAACTAATGCAGCAAATTAATGTCATTTCTTGTGAAATAAATTGCTCGTCAGAGCCCTGCAGAGTGGACTGATGATTGACGACTACATCATTATGTGACTGTCACAGGGGCCGGGAATCCGGAACGCTCCATCACGCTCCACGGCTCGATCCACTGTCCAATCAGGACCCAACCTCCATGTCTCAATTAAGTAAACGAGGAGAAGGTTATTTTTGTTTATGTGCATAGGAGGAGGCCAACACACAAAGGGGAACTCTCATGTATAAAAGCACACAGACATTCAACACAAGTTATTCAAATAAGTGTTTCTTACCTGGCTGCCCTCTCGTTGCCAAAACACAGTAGGTTGGGGGTTGCCCTTGGTCTCACAGGGGAAGGTGACTGTGCGCCCTTGAGCCACGATCTGGTCCCGGGGTCGCACCACAAACAGGGGAGCCTCTGAAGGTCAAAGGTCAGAGAAGTGAAACCACTGTCACCACAGCACAGCAGGAACACATTTAGAGACAGTGCTGTTTATGTGCACAAACTAAGCAAGGAGCGCTACAGGTTTCAGCTACAAGCTACAGGCTGCAGGGAACAACATGCAACAGGTGAATGTCTAGTAGTCTCTCTGAACAGCCATTTCTACAGGTAGCAGACCACACAAGCCATTCATCCAGATGGCCACAAACCTGAATGAATGAGACCAACTCATGAGCATGGGTTCTTTAACGCACATTCTCCCCTTGTAGTCTCTACATCAGAACTACTGCATATCAACTATTATGTCTTGACCAGAAAGTTGGAGGAAAGGACCTAAATGTGCATGTATTAGTTACGTTGAATAATCAGGTGTGAATGTGTGTTTTGTGTTTATGGGTGTGTATGTATGCAAGTGTAGGAACATTTACTGAGCCCTTTTAAGCATGTGCATTTGCGTGCGTGTGCGTGTGCATGTGCATATGTGTGTGTGACAGAGAGAGAGAGAGAGAGAGAGAGAGAGAGAGAGAGAGAGAGAGAGAGAGAGAGTAATGCATGCACAATGGGATCAGCTCTTACTTACCAACAGGGCGAGCTGGTGACAGAACAATGGTGTGGATGGGTGAGCACAAAACACAAGACCGAGAGGAGAGGAGGAGAGGAGAGGGAAAGAAAAATAAATGAAAATCAGAAATGAATGATGTGGTGTTGGGTACAAAAGTCCAGCAGGTACAGATGCAGGTGATGGCATGGGGCTTAGGTAAAGGAAATAAACCTGGCATCATCTTGGTTTGGGAAGGTTTTATAGTAATACAATGTTCACATTGTCTTATTCACAGTCACAGATGTGGAAAGATCACAGCATCACCACTGACACACTGTGCTTATGTACAAACAAACAAAGGGCAAAACCAGAAAGCTGAGTCTCGCCTGCCCTTACCCTCTTCACCTCAAATACCCTTAAAATACCCTACCAGAGTCTCACTGCACCAGTTCTATTAGCATCCCAGTCGAGAGAGGACACAGTGTGGTGTTGTAATGTGCAGGCGAGTTGGAATGGAGAGTGAGATCCAGGGTGTGTAACACAATTGGTTCTGGTTAAGATGCTCATCTTTGTGTGGAGGCTGGAGGTCCTAGTGTAATCATCCAGTCAGGGCCCTGGGAGAGAGAGGAACTGAGCCCAGCTCCAGGCTCACATCAGGGGGGCAATAACACACACGGTGGGGAGGGTGGAGAGGATTGGTCTGGGCCTAAGCCCACCCTGCTGAGACTATTACCACAGCTCCAGGAACAGGAGTGGTGTCTGTCTGTCTCCTACAGTAGCCTGTACTCACCCCTGATGGTGAGGGTAGCCGAGGCCTCCACTTTGCCCACACGGTTCTCAGCCACACAGGTGAAGGTGCCCTGGTCCCCAGCCGATGCCTCCTTGATCCTCAGGAGGAAATCCTCCTTCTCATATCGGATGTCATACCTGGGGAAGGAGGAGAGGAGTGGTTGACATTAGGGTGAAGTCAAGCTTGCAGTAATCAGTCTTGCATCTCTGCTGGCTTGCACGCCATGACTGTTTACTAAACGGCTGCTTTGATACGGTTGGAAAAAGGGGCTACGTTCTGTATAAATAACAATTACACCTACAGTAAGAAAACCAGTCCACTTCTGGGACATTTTAGAGTAAAGTTTACATAAAATAATAGGCTGTGGAGATAAGGCTGTTTTGAAGAATAAAGCAAGGTTTTCTGAGACTCCCCGCTGCAGAGAGACTACATTCTGCTACGGAGGAGGAGGAGAAGGGGCTTTCAGCTGGAACCCTGACTGTTACTCTAATTCAATATTTATGAAGAAGAGGCACCCACTGTGGGGTGTATGCTGTGCTGATGCGTGTATGAGTGAGTGAGAGAGAGAGACAGAGAGAAAGAGAGAGAGGGAGAGAGAGAGAGAGAGAGAGAGAGAGAGAGAGAGAGAGAGAGAGAGAGAGAGAGAGAGAGAGAGAGAGAGAGAGAGAGAGAGAGAGGGAGAGACTGTCTATAGCTGACGTTGGGACAATAACCGAAAGGTTGCTTGTTCAAATTCCCGAGCCGACAAGGTGGAAAAATCTGCTGTTCTGCCCTTGAGCAAGGCTGTTAACCTCCACAACAACTGCTCCCCGGGAGCCGATGACGTGGAAGTCGATTAAGGCAGCCAGAGCAGGGCTAACAGTCCATCACTCAGAGAAACAACAGTCCTAATAGAGCAGGGCTAACAGTCCATCACTCAGACAAACAACAGTCCTAACAAATCAAATCAAATTGTATTTGTCACGAATGTGCTGAATACAACAGGTGTAGACCTTACCGTGAAATGCTTACTTACAAGCCCTTAACCAACAATGCAGTTCAAGAAATAGAGTTAAGAAAATATTTACAAAATAAACTAAAGTATAAAAAAAAAAAAAAAAATAACAATAAAATAACAATAACGAGGCTATATACAGGGGGTACCGGTACCGAGTCAATGTGCGGGGGTACAGGTTAGTCGAGGTAATTTGTACATGTAGGTAGGGGTAAAGTCACTATGCATAATAATAACATGAGTAGCCATGTAAAACAAAGGTTTTTGTAATGTAGGTAGGGGGGTCATATGCAAAAATAACAGTGAGTAGCAGCAGTGTAAAAACAAAGGGGGGGGGGGGGGGGGGTCCTATGGCTTGGCGGTAGAAGCTGTTAGGGAGTCTTTTGGACCTAGACTTGGCGCTCCGGTACCACTTGCCGTGCGGTAGCAGAGAGGACGGTCTATGACTTGGGTGACTGGAGTATTTGAAAAAAAGGTGGGCCTTCCTCTGACACCAAGCCTATTAGATAGGTCCTGGATGGCCGGAAGCTTTTGGCCCCATATTACTGTGCAGTACGCACTACCCTCATTAGCGCCTTACGGTCAGATGCCGGGCAGTTGCCACCCAGTCGTTGATGCAACCGTTCAGGATGCTCTCGATGGTGCAGCTGTATAACTTTTTTGAGATCTTGGGGACCTATTCCAAATCTTTCTCAGTCTCCTGAGGGGAAACGGTGTTGTCGTTCCCTCTTCACGACTGTCTTGGTGTGTTTGGACCATGATAGTTTGTTGGTGATGTGGACACCAAGGAACTTGAAACTCTCGACCCGGCCCACTACAGCCCTGTCGACGTGAATGGGGGCATGTTCGGCCCTCCTTTTCCTGTAGTCCACGATCAGCAGGGCTAACAGTCCATCACTCAGTGAAACACCAGTCGTAAAAGAGCAGGGCTAACAGTCCATCACTCAGAGAAACACCAGTCTTAACAGAGCAGGGCTAACAGTCCATCACTCAAGGGCAGAGGGTTTGACATGGCTACAGAGCATGGAACATTATGGAGATGGACTCTCCCTTCTAAGGGGCCTCCTCTGGTCTCTGAAGCAGACAGACCAGCAGACGGTAAATCTGTCCAGTCTTCCATAACGTCTGGACATGTGAGACGAGCAGAGCAGTGAAACAGAATGAGGGGGGTGGGGCCACAGACACAAGAGAAGGTGAGAGAAATGAGGGGGAGAAATTTCGATAGAGCTTTCTGTCCGTTCGGACAGTTGGTGTGTCTTACTGAAACTTGTGAAGACTCCAGTCACGTATCTGACCCACATACACACCTCCCAGGAGGGCTGGTCTGGGAGGGATGGGGAAAGAGAGGGCGGGAAGTAGGGAAGGGAGGAGAGAGAGAGAGAGAGAGAGAGAGAGAGAGAGAGAGAGAGAGAGAGAGAGAGAGAGAGAGAGAGAGAGAGAGAGAGAGAGAGAGAGAGAGAGAGAGAGAGAGAGAAAGGCAGGTCTGGAAGTAGGGCATGTTTCTGGAGTCAGGGGAAGGAGGGAGAAAGGAGTGAGCAGGGAGCAGACAGACAGCCAGACGGAAGTACAGCCAGACAGACACTACTCTACTCTACCCCAGTCTGAGAGAGTGTTCCTCACGGCCACTTCCCGTCTCAGACACATGGTCCTGATGAACACGCAGACTGAAGCCAACACTATCTTAATTCTCTCACACACCACTACTACTACTTCAGGGTACTTCCTTTAGAAATACACACTTACTGTACAGTATATCATGGAGGGAAACATATATTTCCTCTCATAAAGATCCCAATAGGGTCAAAGACTTCATATGGGATTCAACATTGGCAAACTGTGAGAGTGTTTTCTGTTACTGAGAAACTAGGCAGGCCAACAGAGATTCATGGTAAATTTAGTTTTATGCTGTGGTCCTAACCACATTTTGACTCCATTGGCAGCGTAGTCCTCCTGCTGTGACACCAGGCTAAGGACTCTAACCTCAAACTACCCTGCATTTCTGAAGCCAGTTGTGTAAATGTATTATTGCTCTGGACAGTTGTCCTGATGGCCACTTCATTTAGATAATGATACATAGTAGATATTGCTAGAGCTTGGGTCTTGTGTAGTGTAGCTAAGTAAATAAAATGTATATTTCTATGAGTCTAGCTAGGACGGGTAGAGTGCCTTAAGAAAGTATTCATACCCCTTTACTTATTCTACATTTTGTTGTGTTACAACCTGAATTCAAAATGGATTAAATATACTTTTTTTCTCACCCATCTAGAGTCAATACCCCATAATGACAAAGTGAAAACATGTTTTTAGAAATTTTAGCAAATGTATTGAAAATGAAATACACCCGAGTCAATACATGTTAGAATCACCTTTGGCAGCAATTACAGCTGTGAGTCTCTAAGAGCTTTGCACTCCTAGATTGTACGATATATACCCATTATTCTTTTCAAATTCTTCAAGCTTTGTCAATTTGGTGGTTGATCATTACTAGACAGCCATTTTCAAGTCTTACCATAGGTTTTTAAGACGATTTAAGTCAAAACTGTAACTAGGCCCCTCAGGAACATTCAATGTCGTCTTGGTAAGCAACTCCAGTGTATATTTGGCCTTGTGTTATAGGTTATTGTCCTGCTGAAAGGTAAATTAATCTACCAGTGTCTGATGGAAAGCAGACTGAACAAGTTTTTCCTCTAGGATTTAGCCTGTGCTTAGCTCCATTCCATTTATTTTTTATCCTGATAAACTCACCAGTCCTGAACGATTACAAGCATACCCATAACATGATGCAGCCACCACTATGCTTGAAAATATGAATGACGTGTTGTGTTGGATTTAACTCAAACATAACACCTTGTATTCAGGAGTTGAATTTCATTTATTTGCCACATTTCTGACAGTTTTACTTTAGTGCCTTATTGCAAACAGGATGCATGTTTAGGAATATTTGTATTCTGTAAAGTCTTCCTTCTTTTCACTCTGTCAATTAGGATAGTATTGTTGAGTAACTACAATGTTGTTGATCCATCCTCAGTTTTCTCCTATCACAGCCATTAAACTCCGTAACTGTTTTGGCCTCATGGTGAAATCCCTGAGTGGTTTCCTTACAATCCAGCAACTGAGTTAGGAAGGACGCCTGTATCTTTGTAGTGACTGGGTGTATTGATACAACATCCAAAGAGTAATTAATAACTTCACCATGCTCACAGGGATATTCAATGTGTGTAGGCCAGTGACACAAAATCTCAATTTAATCCATTTAAAATTCAGGCTGTAAAGGGGTGTGAATACTTTCTGAAGTGCATTCGGAAAGTATTCAGACCCCTTTACTTTTTCAAAATTTTGTTACGTTACAGCCTTGTTCTAAAATGGACCCCCCCCCCCCCCCCCCCCCCCCATCAATCTACACACAATACTCCATAATGTCAAAGCAAAAACAGGTTCTTAGAAATTTTTGCAAATGTATAAAAAAACAACAACGGAAATATCACATTTACGTAAGTATTCAGACCCTTTACTCAGTAAATTGTTGAAGCACATTTGGAAGTGATTACAGCCTCGAGTCTTCTTGGGTATGACGCTACAAGCTAGGCACACCTGTATTTGGGGAGTTTCTCACATTCTTCTCTGCAGATCCTCTCAAGCTATGTCGGGTTGGATGGGGAGCATCGCTAAAAAGCTATTTTCAGGGCTCTCCAGAGATGTACGATCAGGTTCAATTACGGGCTCTGGCTAGGCCACTCAAGGACATTCAGAGACGTTTCCCGACGCCACTTCTGCGTTGACTTGGCTGTGTGCTTAGGGTTGTTGTCCTGTTGGAAGGTGAACCTTCGCCCCAGTCTGAGGTCCTGAGCACTCTGGAGCAGGTTTTCATCATTCATCTGTACTTTGCTGCATTCATCTTTCCCTCGATCCTGACTTGATTAGGGATGGTGCCAGGTTTCCTCCAGATGTGGCACTTGGCATTCAGGCCAAAGAGTTCAATCTTGGTTTCATCAGACCAGAAAACCAAGTTTCTCGTGGTCTGAGAGTCCTCTAGTGTCTTTTGGCAAACTCCAAACGGGCTGTCATTTGAGGAGTGGGTTCCGGCTGGCCATTCTACCATAAAGGCCTGATTGGTGGAGTGCTGCAGAGATGGTTGTCCTTCTGGAAGGTTCTCCCATCTCCACAGAGGAACTCTGGAGCTCTGTCAGAGTGACCATCGGGTTCTTGGTTGACTCCCTGACCAAGGCCCTTCTACCCCGATTGCTCAGTTTGGCCGGGCAGCCAACTCTAGGGAAGGTCTTGGTGGTTCCAAACTTCTTCCATTTCAGAATAATGGAGGCCACTGTGTTCTTGGGGACCTTCAATGCTGCAGAAATGTTTTGGTACCCTTCCCCAGATCTGTGCCTCAACACAATCCTGTCTCGGAGCTCTACGGACAATTCCTTCGACCTCATGGCTTGTTTTTTGCTCTGACATGCACTGTCAACTGTGGAACTTTATATAGACAGGTGTGTGCCTCTCCAAATCATGTCCAATCAATTGAATTTACCACAACTGGACTCCAATCAAGTTGTAGAAACATCTCAAGGATGATCAATGGAAACAGGATGCACCTGAGCTCAATTTCGCGTCTCAAAGCAAGGGGGCTGAATACTTACGTAAATAAGGTATTTCTTTTTTATATCTAAAAACCTGTTTTCGCTTTGTCATTATGGGGTATTGTGTGTAGATTGATGAGGATTTATATTGATTTAATACATTTTAGAATAGGGCTGTAATGTAACAAAATGTGGAAAAAGTCAAGGGGTCTGAATACTTTCCAAATGCACTGTACATCATAAAAAATCAAGAGCTTGAATACTAAAATATACATACAGAAACACAGATAAAAAGGCGGACGGAGAGTAAAGACATTTACGTGATTTATACACAATGTTTACAAAAGTACGTGGACACCCCTTCAAATTAGTGAATTTGGCTATTTCATTTGGCTATTTCAGCCACATCCGTTGCTGAAAGGTGTATAAAATCGAGCACACAGCCATGCAATCTCCATAGACAAACATTATATGTATATATTCTTAAATTCCATTCCTTACTAGATTTGTGTGTATTGGGTATATGTTGTGAAATTGTTAGATATGTCTTGTTAGATATTACTGCACTGTCGGAGCTAGAAGCACAAGCATTTTGCTACATCCGCAATAACATCTGCTAAACACGTGTATGTGACAAATAAGATTTGATTTGATTTGGAAGTAAAACGGCCTTACTGAAGAGCTCAGTGACTTTGAACGTGGCACGGACATACGATGCCACCTTTCCAACAAGTCAGTTCATCAAATTTCTGCCCTGCTAGAGCTACCCCGGGCAACTGTAAGTGCTGTTATTGTGAAGTGGAAACGTCTAGGAGCAAAAACAGCTCAGCCGCGAAGTGGTAGGCCGCACAAGCTCACAGAACGGGACCACCTAGCGCGTCAAAATTGTCTGTCCTCGGTTGCAACACTCACTAGCGAGTTCCAAACTGCCTCTGGAAGCAACGTCAGCACAAGAACTGTTCGTCGGGAGCTTCATGAAATTGATTTCCATGGCCGAGCAGCAGCACACAAGCCTAAGATCAACATGCGGAATGCCAAGCGTCGGCTGGACTGATGTAAAGCTTGCCGCCATTGGACTCTGGAGCAGTGGAAACGCGTTCTCTGGAGTGACGAATCACACTTCACCATCTGGCAGTCCGATGGATGAATCTGGGTTTGCCGGATGCCAGGAGAACGCTACCTGCCCGAATGCATAGTGCCAACTATAAAGTTTGGTGGAGGAGTAATAATGGTCTGGGGCTGTTTTTCATGGTTCGGCTAGGCCCTTTAGTTCCAGTGAAGGGAAATCTTAATGCTACGGTATACAATGACATTCTGTTTCAGCATGACAATGCCCCGTGCACAAAGCGAGGTCCATACAGAAATGGTTTGTCTAGAGCGGTGTGGAAGAACTTGACTGGCCTGCACAGAGCCCTGACCTCAACCCCATCGAACACCTTTGGGATGAATTGGAATGCCAACTGCGAGCCAGGCCTAATCGCCCAACATCAGTGCCCAACCTCACTAATGTTCTTGTGGCTGAATGGACGCAAGTCCCCGCAGCAATGTTCCAACATCTAGTGGAAAGCCTTCCCAGAAGAGTGGAGTCTGTTATAGCAGGAAAGGGGGGACCAACTCCATATTAATGCCCATGATTTTGGAATGAGATGTTTGACGAGCAGGTGTCCACATACTTTTGGTTGTGTAGTGTATATATTGTACCCACAGTCATGCACAGGTAGACATACATGGCAATATATGCTATACTCATGCCCTCACACACAGACAGCATACACAAGAGCATGAACACATTCCAAATCCACTCTGTATCTAAGGGTAGCATATGTATAGTAAGTAGCATATTACATGTAATCTGGGTTTAAGAACAGGACTCTGTGGGCTTTGAGAAACAATGTTAGGCACCGTGATCAAAGCAACGCTGTAGTAACATGTCAGGTGTTTACCTGCTCCAGCTACAGCCTGGGACTCATTAGTCCTGCCTCACAATCCATATATTAACACTTGTTTCAACAATAGCCACAACAGGAAATCATAAAAGACCAGAAGGTACGTGTAGGCACCAGGGCACATAGAGACACACACTTTCTCTCCTAACCTGCTGCGGGGTATATCCAAGTCGTCCTTCCTCCAGCGTAGAGAGGGTGGTGGGTCTCCCTGTACCTGACACCTGAGCTCCACACTCTCCTCCACCAGGACCACCTGGTTCACTGGCCGACGCACAAACGTGGGTCTCTCTGGAAAACCACCAAACACATAGACAGACAAGACAGGAGTCTATAGGTTTTCTAAGCAATATTTAAAAACAGAAACAGATAGCATGTAGCCACTGCAGCCATTACAGATAAGCACAGAGAAAAGAGTCTGTCCAGTATCTGTCCTTACCGAACACAGAGAGCTGAGCCGTCTCACTGTCTCTCTCCCCCACCATGTTGGTGGCCACACACACGTACATCCCTGCATCACTCTTCCTGGTGTTGGAGATGGTCAACTTCCCTCCACGAACCTGACAGTCAGACAACAGAGATGGCTCAACAGAGTCTACATCAGACATTCTGGGAAGGGGGGGGGGGGGGGGGGGGGGGGGGGGGGGGTCATTTAATCTGTATATTTTAGTTATCCCTAATGAGAGTAGACACAGAGGACCGGGTCCTCAGGAAGTAGTACTCACAGTGATCCTGTCATCTTTGAGGTCCAGGCGGGCCTTGTCTTTCCTCCAGAAGGTGGTGGGCTCAGGGTGCCCACGAGGAGGCTGGCACTCCATGGTGGCAGGATCCTCCACCGCCACCACCAAGTCCTGGGGGTTCTGTCTGAAGTCATCACGCAACACTGGGAGAAACAGAGAGAGAGAGAGAGAGAGAGAGAGAGAGAGAGAGAGAGAGAGAGAGAGAGAGACAGAGAGAGAGAGAGAGAGAGAGAGAGAGAGAGAGAGAGAGAGAGAGAGAGAGAGAGAGAGCGAGACAGAGAGAGAGACAGAGGGAGAGAGAGAGAGAGAGAGGGGAGGGGGGTAAGGTACTTTCTAAGCAAGGTTTTTAGTTGGTTCATCCTACAACATTTGTGGACATAGTGCTTCATAATCCACTGTGCTTCTACTTTGAGGATCAACCAAAACAAATACATGGACAGCACACTGTAAAATGACAAGTACATACAGTACGGTGTATAAATTAGATCCACTCTGTCAGTCAGTAATAGAGTCCAGGTACGGTAGATAGAGTATATTGTGGTGGGAATAACTGGAGGAGAGCCAGGGCCCAGATCAGATCTCTAGTCAAACAGGCACTGTGTGGGTTGGCACCAGAGCCCAGAGGCCGCGCTGTCAATCACAGTCAGCTGTGGAAGACGAGATCATGGGTGTCTCAGTCACACAGGCCTGGCCAGGTCTATAGAGCCATATGGCTGGGTGGGTTATGTCCATAGAATTAGGAATTATAATTATTGTTATAATTTTTTACTTACTTACTTACTTAGTAATTTAATAGGATCTCTATGGTTCTGTCACTGTCACACATAATCCTCTCCTCACTCAGACAAGCCCTTCTTCCTCCTCTTCCTCCCACCCCAGTCACTCCTGCTGTGCCTCATTAAAGATGGCACCTCCAAAAAGTGCTGTGTGACATTCCATATGGATAGTGGATACAACAAAACTCACAAGCCATATGAGCCACATACAGTGCATTCGGAAAGTATTCAGACCCCTTCATTTTTTCCACATTTTGTTACGTTACAGCCTTATTCTAAAATGGATTAAATAAAACATTTTCCTCATCAATCTACACACAATACCCCATAATGACAAAGCAAAAAAAAAGTTGAATACTTATTTACATAAGTATTCAGACCCTTTGCTATGAGACTCTAAATTGAGCTCAGGTGTATCCTGTTTCCATTGATTATCCTTGAGATGTTTCTAAAACTTGATTGGAGTCCACCTGTGGTAAATTCAATTGATTGGACATGATTTGGAAAGGCACACACCAGTCTATATAAGGTCCCACAGTTGACAGTGCATGTCAGAGCAAAAATCAAGCCATGAGTCGAAGGAATTGTCCGTAGAGCTCCGAGACAGGATTGTGTCGAGGCACATATCTGGGGTAGGTTACCAAAACATTTCTGCAGCGTTGAAGGTTCCCAAGAACATAGTGGCCTCCATCATTCTTAAATGGAAAAAGTTTGGAACCACCAAGACTCTTCCAAGAGCTGGCCGCCTGGCCAAACTGTACAATCGGTGGAGAAGCGCCTTGGTCATTGAGGTGACCAAGAACCCAATGGGCCTCCTGTAGCTCAGTTGGTAGAGCATGGCGCTTGCAACGCCAGGATTGTGGGTTTGATTCCCACGGGGGGCCAGTATAAAAAATGTATGCACTCACTAACTGTAAGTCGCTCTGGATAAGAGCGTCTGCTAAATGACGTAAATGTAAATGTAATCACTCTGACAGAGATCCAGAGTTCCTCTGTGGAGATGGAAGAACCTTCCAGAAGGACAACCATCTCTGCAGCACTCCACCAATCAGGCCTTTATGGTAGAGTGGCCAGACGGAAGCCACTCCTCAGTAAAAGGCACATGACAGCCCGCTTGTAGTTTGCCAAAAAGCACTTAAAGGACTCAGACCATGAGAAACAAGATTCTCTGGTCTGATGAAACCATGATTGGCCTGAATGCCAAGCGCCACGTCTGGAGGAAACCTGGCACTATCCCTACGGTAAAGCATGATGCTGTGGGGATGTTTTTCAGCAGCAGGGACTGGGAGACTAGTCAGGATCGAGGGAAAGATGAACGGAGCAAAGTACAGAGAGATCCTTGATGAAAACCTGCTCCAGAGCACTCAGGACCTCAGACTGGGGCGAAAGTTCACCTTCCAACAGGACAACAACCCTAAGCACACAGCCAAGACAACGCTGGAGTGGCTTCAGGACAAGTCTCTGATTGTCCTTGAGTGGCCCAGCAAGAGACAGGACTTGAACCCGATCAAACATCTCTAGAGAGACCTGAAAATAGCTGTGCAGTGGCACTCCCCATCCAACCTGACAGAGCTTGAGAGGATCTGTAGAGAAGAATGGGAGAAACTCCCCAAATACAGGTGTGCCAAGCTTGCAGCGTCATTCCCAAGTACTGCTTCAACAAAGTACTGAGTAAAGGGTCTGAATACATATGTAAATGGGTAATTTACTGTATGCCTACATTCCCGCTGTATTTGTTTTCCCACAAATAGGGAGAACACATTTTGATCAGCGAATAAGTGCATTTAGATGCAATACTGCACACCTCTGAGAGGGTAGCAACCCAACACAATGAGATGCCCTCACAGATGTCCTCTGTTCATGGCCAATCACGCTGGTGTGTGTTCTGATTTGAAGACATTGAAAGTCAAGCCCCCTCCCTGCAGTAGCAGCCGTGCATAGTGTGTTGTCAGGGTTTAATTATTTCAGAAATAGGGGCCCACCGCTGTCTGATTGGGTATCACTCAATTATTCCAACCAGCCGTTCAGAGGTGGGGGAGCAGTCACTGGCTGTCTACATTTATCCCGTCAGGAAATAGAATGATTCTGAAATGGGCTTCAATCAGTGGCGGTCAGTGGCGGTCTGTTTAAGATGAGGGAGGATGAACAAAAAAATTATGAGCTTGGCCTTATTTCTATTACAGCATATTGGATGACTGTCATTCATATTCCATTCACCCAGCTCAATGTAACATCTATAGGTTTAGGCTACTACATGATACTCAAATTTCCCATTACCCATCATGAGGATGCTACAACCTAGCCTATGAATGAAAGTTTACAACGTAGGTGCACAGGTCGAGAGAACATTGAGTAATCAAGGTGACAGACAGTGACACATTCAATACCGCCTTGCACACTCTTGCCTGCATCTAGCTGCTCTAGGGTGTAATCATTAGTCCAACAATTGCAAATTAGAGTTTCTATTGGACAAATTCAGGTATGTTTATCCCCGTTTTGTTCCGTTTGGTTTCGTTTAAGAAACGTTTTTCAACAGAATCGGCAGAATGAATACATCCCTGATCACACGCAAACACAGTTCACTTTCACAGCAGCCACATAAAAACAGCATGATCACTTTGCTCGTTGTATATATATATAATTCCTTCACGCAACTATGCACTCTCCTCCTCTCAGCTTTTCCCTTCACTTGTGGACTACAGTCAACATACTAGAACTAACGCGTTAGTAAACCCGCTAGAATCATGCAGTACAGTGTACAGTCAGAAAGCAGTTTAGCAGTTACACCAATGGGCCCCAGTGGCAATAAATTAATAAAACCAAAGGCAAACCTTGGATAACCATTGCCAGCTAGCTAACATAGCATCCCTCTCTGTTTGAGCCAGGTGTTTGATTAGGCTTAACTAGCTAGCTAGCTGCATTCACAGGCTAAGTGAATGCTTCTTGCTTCTCCTTCATTTTGGAAGAAATTAACTTGTTCAAAACTGTTCAATTATTGCCTTTCTCTCTCTTTGAGTCAACAACTCACCACATTTTGTGGACTGCAGTGCTAGTTAGCAGTAGTTTATGCTTTCAGTACTAGATTCATTCTCTGATCCTTCGATTGGGTGGACAACATGTCAGTTCATGCTGCAAGAGCTCTGATAGGTTGGAGTACGTCCTCCTGAAGTTGTCTTAATTACTGTGTAAGTCTATGGAAGTGGGTGAGAACCATGAGCCTCCTAGGTTTTGTATTGAAGTCAATGTACATAGAGGAGGACGGAAGCTAGCTGTCCTC